CTGCTCTGTCCCCGGTGAATCCTCTCACCTGGCCTGTACCCCGGCTCTTATATAAAAATAAATAAATCTTTAAAAAAGAAAAACCAGCTGGCTGGAGAGAGGCTGTGTGGAGGAGCCGGTGGAAGAGAGAGAGCAAAACAAAACCCAAAGTTTCAGAAGCTGGGGGATGGGGGCGCAGCTGCCTTCCTGCAGGACACAGTGTCAGGAGCGTTTCTCCTGTGGCCCCACGCCCAGTTTCACTTTCTCTAATTCCAAGCCTCCTGAACACCATCTGGACTGACTCCAGCTTCTCAAGCACGTCTACGTAGAGCCTGTGCTTGCCAGGCCAGGCCAGCGCTCTGGTCTGCGGCCATAATTCGGGTTTGTACATCAGTCCCTGGAGTCGTTAGTGTGAGTCCCCCCAGAAAGGTGAGGACCTGAGCCCCGAGTGAGGTGGGGTCGTGTGCTGTGACAGCCCACTCGCGCTCTGTGCACTGATGCTGGTGCACACGGCGTGTCCACCCGCGGCCCGCCTCACATTTGCCTACGGTCACCTGTGCAACACACGCGTCATCTGCAGCCGTCCTTTTTTGTAAACAATGAAATAAAACTTAGGAAAACACATTTGTCTTTGATGGTCGTTATATTTTTCAAACTTCTGCATCCTATCGATTTTTCCAAAGTAATTTCTAAGCAATTGGCTCTCTGAAAAAGGTTTCCAATTTTTCTTTTTTCCTTTTTAAATTAATTCACTCAGCAGCCTCCCCAGATACAAGCCTGGCAAGGGTCGTCACCTCCCAAGTGCAGAGACCCAAAGAACCGGGCACACCGCAGACGAAGAACATTCGCCCAGACTGGACCCCAGCAGGGAAATCTGGGCTGTCTCCCATCCCCCATGCCCCAGAAGAGCTAAATTTAGTTTACTGGCTGCACTGCCATGACTGGAACATGTTGCAAGAACAAGAAGCAAGCGAAAGGGAAAAAAAAGCAGCTGCGTGTGGAGAGAGGCTCTTGAATGTCAGGACAAGCAGGGAATCTTCTCGATTATCTAACGCGCTTCCTCGGGTCAGGTCGCCCTGCCCTCTCCTGCCGCACTCCTGTTGCTGTAACCGAATCAGGTCGCCCTGCGTCCGACAGGCCTGCTCACAACGGCAGGCATGTCTATTTCCAGCAGGGTGAATTTTCTCCGTCTCTGCCTCTGCTGCCAGACCTTCACTGGTGCCCTTGATGTTCCCTTGTGCGCTGGCCCCGCGCTGTAAATGCTCCCCTTTCATGCGCATCTCCTCCTCCTCCCCGCCTGCTCCTCCCCGGCTCCTGCAGTTGTCACTGACACAGGGAGCTGCTTGATCAGTGACTCGGTGATTGTGAATCCCAGGACCTTGGTCCCCTTGAAGGGCCCCTGCGCCCCGTCCTAGAGCCAGATCAAGGTCCCTGCCTTGACTCTCAGCACCCCCGAGAGCTGCCCTCTCCTTTTTCTGCCCTGCCCTGGCTCCTTCCTGCTCTGTTTAGTTTTTCAAGGTGGACAGAGAAGACTGGAGCTTAGAATTTCTGAAGTCCAGTGTCCTCACTGACGGGTGGGGAAGGTAAGGGTCGGAGAGCTCCGCTGGCCACGTGCACGGCCGGTTCCTGCAGGAGCCCGGCCCGGTGTGAGCCGGGGGGCAACGTCTTCAGGAGCGAGTAGTGCCCGAGGAGACTCGTCGCCCATCCAGGCGTCCCTTCTCCTTGCTGCCCGGTCTCCCAGGGCCAGGACACCAGGGCCGGGGTCCCAGGGACACCTGGACCGGGTTTTCCTCCCCATAGCGCAGAGCACGGAGCCCTAGAAAGTGCCTGCCCCCCTCCAGCCCAAGCAGAGGTGGGGCGGGGGATCGGAGACCGCCTGCAAGGTGAGTCTGGACTCAGCCCTGCACCTGCTGGGTTCCTGCAGGTCACCACGCGTGCCCTTGTCTCCCGCATACCAGCCGCCCGTGACGTACAGTGGTGGCAAAACTTAAATCACTGGTGAGTGGGCACCGGTCTCTGCTGGAAAAAGACAAGGACGGCAACGTGCACGAACCATCTCAGCACTCGATGCCTGCCGTACTGGGGGGGGCTTAGGTGTCCCGAGGTGCGCGTGAAGGGGGGTGTGCCTGGGAGGCGCAGGAAGCAGCCCGCGGGTCTAGAAGCTGCTCCTCAGGCGAGCACGGGAGCAGCAGCGCCAGGCCTGGCTGCGGGTGTCCGGGGGCGCGTCCTTCCGGGGGCCATGGCCGTGCCTCCTTGGGACCTGCCGCGTGGGGAGCCGCCATGCCGCCCCAGGCACGGGGTGAGGAGCACCCCTGGTTTTCTAGCCCACGGCCGGCCGCATCGCTGGGGACGGCACGACAGCGGAGAACGGCGGGCGCCAGGGGAAGAGCCTGAGAAACGCGCTCCCGGTGAGGAAGCTGGGAGAGGACGTGATGGCAGCCCGGGGCGAAAGTGAAACAACTGCTCCCCGGCTCTGGGCCTGGGCGTCACAGGACACAGGGGAAGGCCCGGCGAGAAGGACCCGGCGCTGCTGACAGAAGCAGCACCTTCCTCTCGGCACCCTTGCCCGGGCCCGGCCTGCCCCCCTGCACCGGGCTGAGGCGGCGGGTCTGGGGAGGGGACAGTGCACAAGCCGCCTCGGGAGGGGCGCGTGGGTCTGGGGGACTCGCAAGCACCTTCTCCCCCGACTCTGGCCCCCGAGCCAGGGGAAACGCACGCAGGGAGGCCGGGCTGGGGCTGCTGCCGACCCGGGCAAGGCTGTCACCCTCCGTGCCGGCGGGAAGACCCGGGTCCCCCAGGCCTGCTCCCCTGCGGGCCACATGCGGGGCCTTGGTGGGGGTGCAGGGAGGGCGGGAGCACGAGGCAGTCTGGGTGACCAGTGCCGGGGAGGCGTTGGGGGCAACCTCACGGTGCCTCAGATGCCTCCTGCGAACTAAGGACGGGGCAGGGCACCTGCCACAGACGCCTCCCGCCCCCAGCCCCCAAGAGCCGCCACCCAGGAAGGGGCCTCCCGCTTGGCCAAAACTACCTTTTGAAGGAAGTTTTCTTCCAACCTCCCTCCACCTACCTCAGCCCCCTTTACTAAAGGAATAAGCTGGGCTTGCTTTCCCGAAGCTTCAGGGTCTTCTTTGTGCCCAGAAAATAAACTGGAAACCAGGGAAGGAGAAGGGCAGCGAGTGTGTTTCTGTGCACTGGTGTGACACGTCCCGGAGGAGGGTAAGGGGCGGGGGGCTGAGAAAATATATCCTTTCATCAACTCCGGAGTGACCGCTTCAGTACACATGACTGTCCGAAAACCAGAAACAGGACCTGCCGGGTGGTGCACGATGAAGCAGTCCGCCGCCTCCGGAGCACGAGTTCCATCCCCGGCCAGCGAGCTACCCACACGGCGCGGCAGACCTCTGCTGTCTCCCCGCTGCTCCCCTCAGCAGTGGATTTCAGTGGATCCGCCTGTTCTGCTCCCCACTCTGTCTCTGGTGGATCCTCTGCCCTACACCCCAGCTCTTGTATGCATAAATAAATCAATCTTTAAAATAAATAAATAAATATCAGAAATAAAATTCTGTCTTGTGTGAGGCTGATGCTGGAAAAGTGGCTTTTTCATCTTCCACTGCAAGAGACCCGGCCATGACTTTGCAGCCCAAATGCGTCTGCACTGCAGACCTTGCAGGAGGCTAAACTGAAGCCAGGAGACCTCGGAGAGGTGTAAGGTAAGGCAGCAGGAGACCCCTGAGTGGCCAGCCTAAGGGGCGTGGGGGAGTCACACAGCGGCTGAGGGGCAGCTGGGGCCCTCTGAGTGCCCCAGCCTGAGGCTCGCCCTGACCTTGGCATCGGGGCTGGCGGGGTGGCCCCTGCAGGGACCCAGGCTCCACCCCAGCCCAGCAGCCTTCCTTGTCTTTTTGAAGCGTCAAAGGAGGCGGGCGTCCCTGGCAGTGTGGGGGACAGGAACCCCAGCAGAGCCGCCTTTTTCTGAGAGGAAACAGGTAATTTAAGAAGAAACACAATACCTGGCTCTCCAGCCAGCAGCAGGCCGGCCTCCAGGGGCCTGGAAGTCCTTTGAAGCCCCCCAAGCCTCGCCCGTGGTTTAGAAAACAGAGCAGGACAACTTGCCTCGCGCCTCGCGCCCCGCGCCCCTCCTCCGCGGCAGCTGTTCTGGCAGGTGCCCAGGGCGACACCCGCGATGCCCGATGCCCAACGCCCGATGCCCGATGCCGGGGACACGGTGCACATCGCGTCCCCCCAAGCGGCTTCGCAGCCGCCCGCCGCTGCCGCCACCTGTGGGGGCCTGAGGGCGCCGCGTGGCCCGCGACCTGCCCCCCTAAAGCGCCGCGCTGCGTGGGGCTGGGGCGGGGGGGGGGTGGACAGACGACGGGGCGCGCCAGGCGGAGGGTCCCCCGTCAGCCCCGGCGCGAGGAGGCCCCTGCCCGGCCTCCGCGGCCCTGGTTGGGGGGCGCTGCCGCGGGGCCGTGCGGACGCCCCGATCTCGGCCCGGCCGGGTGGCAGCCCCGGGTGAAGTGGGGGCGCGGGCGAGAGGAAGTTGAGGCGCGGGGCGCCAAAGGGCCCTCCCGGCTCCCCCTGCTCTCGGGGGCCGCGCCGCGGGGGCGTCCGAGTCGCCCCGGGCACAGGTGCAGGGCGGGCGCGCCAGCCCCCCAAGTCCCGGGCCCGCGGCCCCAGGGGCCCCCGAGCCCGGGCGCGCAGCCCCGCGCGGGGCGCCCCGAGCCCCCCCGGCCGCGCGCCCCCGACGGAGACCCGCGCGCGCCCCGAGCCCCGCTTCTGGGGGCCGGCGCCGTCCGTCGCGCGGGCGGCGGCCCGGGGTGAGGTCGGCGCCTCGCCGCGCGCCGCGGAGCCGGGGCCGCGGGAAGTTGCGCGGCGGCGCCAGCCTCGGCGGCTCGGGGCGCGGCGGGCCGGGCGGGCGGGCGCGGGGGGCGGGCGGGCGCCGGCGGCAGGGGGAGGCCGCGCGCGGCTCCTCCTCTTCCTCCGCCTCCTCCAAACTCGCAGGGCGCAGCCGGCGCCGGGCCGCGAGCGCCGGAGGACGGAGCGGCCGCGCCCCGCGGAGGCCCAGCGCCATGGACAGCGACGACGAGATGGTGGAGGAGGCCGTGGAAGGTACGGGCGCGCGGCCGGGGGCGCCGGGGGGCGCGCGGGGGGCGCGCGGGGGGTGGCGGCTCCCCTGGCGCGCCGGGCCCGGCTCGGGCGCCCCCCAGGCCGCGGGGGCGCGCGGGGGCGCGGGGCGCGGGCCCGGCCGGGCCCCTGGAGACGCGGCGGCTCGCGCGCGCCCGGCCGCCCCCACCCCTGCCCGGCGGCCGCGCGCCCCGCGCCCAGGCCTGGCCCCGGCGGGAGGCAGGGGAGGGCGCGCGGGAGGCGCCCCCGGCCCCGCGCCCGCCGCCGAGCCGCCCCCGCCGGCCTCGGGCCCGCGGCGCCCCCGGCCGCCGACCGGCCCCCCGCGCGCCCCGCGGGACCGCGTCCGGGTCGGGTCCCCCCGCGGCGCGGGGCCGGCACGTGGCCGCCGCCCCGCGCTGGAGACGGGCGGCTGGAGCGCGCGGGGGGCCGGGGGGGGACCTGGCCTCGGCGGCCCCCCGCGCACTCGGCGCCCCCCCGCGGGCAGCCCGGGGCGCCCCGCGCGGGCCCAGATCGCCGGGTGACACTTAACTTTCCGGGCTGCACGCGGTTGGCTGCGGGTGAGCTCACCCCGCGTCTCCCCGCCCCTGCGCCGCGCCCCTCCCCCGCTTCTCGCCACTTTGTTTTGCTGAGTTTCTCCACCTCTTTTTTTTTTTTTTTTTTGCTAGTTCTCAAAAGCGATGTGGGGACGTTATACAATCTCGCTGTTTGTCTCATGAGATGTTAGGATTTTGTAACAGTGAACACGGGAAACGCTCTCCGGAGCATTCTCTCTCTGTATTCTACCCCAGACGGTGCGTCGTGACGCTTTGGCGGTGCTGTGCGCCTTCACTCCAGAATCTCTCAAAGCCGGCGTCTGAGGAAGATAATTTTTGGTCTTTGGTGGAATCTGGTTTCTAGACAGTTTGTGGAAACAAGTTCTCATCAGTGGTGACGTGCATGTAGCAACACCCCCAAAATAATCAAGAGCCGCAGCGACGGCTGCGTGGGGAGAGGAAATGGGGTTTGCTCGCAGGCAGGTGGGCGCCCCGTGGCGGGGAGGGCTGGGGCCGGCCAGGTGGGACAGGAGGGCCGGGAGCGGCCAGGTGGGACAGCCTCTGCGCCCCGGGGGTGCGTCCTGCTGTCACTCCCCAAACTTCCTATTTCCTCTCCGCCCCGAGGCTGCTGGTGGCGGTTCTGCACTCACAGCTGGTGGCGGTTCTGCTGTCACGCGCTCCGCGGCTGCCTGGCTCTCTGGGCTGGACTGTTGGGGCCTAGTGACAGCCTCTTCCGCCTTAAGTTGGGAACCCGGGTACCCCCTGTTGTCCGAGCGGATGACCCAGGGTGACAGGCTGTCTGGGTGGGGAGGGCTTGCTTTCTCTCGCGCTTCAAAGTTTACTTTTTCCTGGAAAATGGGATGCGGGCCCCGCCAGCAGGCTACAGCGCCTTCACCCTGGAAGCTGTTTGGAAACAGAGTGTCCTGGTCAGCAGGCTCCTTGCAGTGGACAAGCAGCTTGAGAAGTTTATGATGGAGAAGTTTATTGAGGTTGTTTTGCTCTTGACCAGTGATAGAAACGCGGAGCTGCTGGCCTGAGCAAGGTGACCCTGCAAGAGAGCAGCCAGAGTGAGTGGCCAGCGTCAGAGCTCGCCTGACGGGGCCCGGGGCACGATTCATACGCAGGCCCGGTCGGCTGGCTTAAGTCTGGAACGTGCGGAGCAACCGGGGACCCGTGCCCGCTCGCTGTCCCTCAGTCCCCAGCTCTCTCCAAATCCTGAGAAGCTTCTGAGGCTCAAACCCGCACCTGCCAGGGACTCCTCTCCGGCCACCCTTGGCTCCTCCAGGGGACTGCGGCCAGCTCTGCCTGACATGCGTGGGCGCGGCTGAAAGCTGCCTGGCTGTCTCGGCGACGGTGCCCGCCTGCCCGGCTCTCCGCAAGCAGCACCTGTCTGTTCTCAGTGGGATGGTGGTCTGAGCTCTTGCTCGCTGCTCCGGCTGGTGAGCTGCCTGTGCCCAGCCTCCCCCCGTGCTGAGCGCTTCATTCACAGTGTCCGCTTGGTCTTTATCAGCGGGTGCGGATGTTATCTCGGTTTCGCAGAGGAGGAAACTGAGGCACGGAGGAGTTATGCACTAGTGCAAGGGCACTCTGGGGAGGAGGCGACCTTGGCCTCCAGGACTCCACTCGGGCCTTCCAACTGTCCACTACATTTTTTTCTTCTTTATTTTGAATGAGTCACTCAGTATATGACTTGCGTGGTCACTGGGTTTGGAGGCCAGTTTGGAAGTCCAGGCAGTGTTTCTCCCGCGTTCTTCAGAGGCTGCTCTGGCAGTCAAGTAACCTCAGAAAGCCATGGCGGGGAGGGGCTTCGCCGCCTCTCAGAGGATGCTCTTTCTTCCTCCTCAGAAATCTACTCTGCGGCAGAAATTGGTCATATCAGGACTTGTGTCCTGTCCTACACCTGTGGGTCTCTGTCAGGGTGGAAGTGTAGCCCCGGGCAGTTTGGAAACGCAAAGTGAGGAACTCCTGCGGGGCGAGGGTGGGGGGGTCTTGCACCGGAGCAGCCTGCTCCTCCAGAAGGGCAGGGGCCCTGGGCCTCAGAGGCCAGAGGAGGCCACCTGAGAGCTTCTGTGGCTTTTTATTTTTTAAGGATCTATTTATTTATGCACACAAGAACTGGGGTGCAGGCCATATGTGCGGAGGGTGAGAGGATTCACCAGAGACAGAGCAGGGAACAGAACAGGCGGATCTACTGAAACACACTGCTGAGGGGAGCAGCGGGTGTGCCAGGAGAGGTCTGCTGCGCCATGCGGGTTCTCTCTGGCCGACTGGGGGATTGAACTCGTGCTGCAGAAGTGCGGATTGCTTCGTAGTACGGTGCTTAACCCCTTGCGCCACCAGGGAGGCCCTACTGTGGCTTTTTAAAAACATTTTGAGCCTCTTTGGTTCACTGGGGAGTGAGATTTAGGAATATTCATCAGCGTATGTATTTCTTTGGCGATAGCTGTGAATTCAAGATAGTCCCTAATATAATTTCAAATAAATGTATCTACACAGGGTAGATTATGGTGGTTGAGAAGGAAATAAGGGGGGTGGGGGTGTTGGGCAGAGTTGAGAAGGGGACTTTGAGCAAAGACACAGAGGTGTGGACTGCAGCAAGCCAGAGATCGGAGCACAGCTCCAGGGAGAGCGACAGACCAGGTGAGCAGGTGAGGAGCACTCAGTAGGTCTGCCACAAGGCTTCCAGGGCAGGGATAAAGGGAAAACCTAGGAAGGTCGGAACTCTCTCCCTAACTAAGGAGCCAGAATGACAAACAAGCACCTCAGTGTTCCCTTCAAAACACTAAGAATATTTTTTCATGGTCTCCCTAATGCCTTATCCCGCCTGGCTCTCCAAGACAGCCCCGCTCTGCACTCGGAAAATACTTGCTAAGAGGCTGTGGCCGCAGATTACATCTGTGCCCTCACCACCGGGCAGGAGCTCTGGCAAAGATCGATGCTCAGAAATCAAATCAGGTTTTAACAGCCCGTGCAAATGCAGCATCATGGGGACGTACTCCTGGCATTAAGCAGACAGTAAGTTTGCCTTTTATTGTGACTTTTTTGTAAGAAAGCAATTCAATTCTACAAACCAACTATGCATGTGAGGCTCAGGGTCTGCCATTCTGAAGGACACACACACACACGCACACTTAGCTCTCCTAAGGAAGCCTGAGGCAGTAACCAGCACCGTGACCTGGAGGGAATTTCTGCACCCAGGGCTCTGTCCCTGAGCTGAGCACAGACCTGGCTCTCAGCGGGTTACAGGAAAAGCTCAGGGGCAACCCGAGGGGAAAAACTGAACTTTCTGTCTGCTCCATAGATAACGGTCTTCAGAATAAAGTGAAAAAGTGGATTTGTGAGACCAATACCCCCCGCCCCCGACTTCTATAAATGTTTCAAACCATGCCGCAGACAGCGGGACTTGCGTGAGCTGGGAGGGCACTGCCAGCACAGGGCTGGTGTTCTCGTGCCTTCTCCCTGTTGTCCGGGGCCTGTCTGCTGGGGACTGGCCTGGGAGGCTCCAGGTGGCTTGTGTTTACCAATCACCCTCAGTCCAGGCAGGCAGGACTAGTGTTCCTCTGAGCTGCCAGTGCTTGGAAGGCACAGGAGTGGGCAACCGAGATACACTGTTAAGACTCCCGGCGGTTCTGCGATCACCATCGTCACTACACGAGCTCGCCACCTCTCCCGGGCCCGCCTGCATCTGCCGGCCGGGGGCGTCCACTCCCGCCATCGGCGGGGAAGGAAGGGCGGTCAGCGCCTTTGCCTTTTTATCTTCAGAGAAAGGGACCTGAAAGACTGCACGGGGGCCTGTCCTTGGTGTGCTCAGAGTGGTTCTGTGCTTCCTCCTCCATCAGACTGGAATTTGGGGGATCCTGGGGGCGTTAAATGAGATAGCAGGAGAGCCGTTGCCCCCGTCCCGGGCACAGCAGGGATGCAGCCTTTCTCTTCTCTGTGTGTCACATCCTGGTCCATGAGCTTGACTCTGGCTAACAAGTGGTCCATGACCTGCCTGCCCGGTGGCACTCGAGCGGGCGCGTCTGACACTGACGCTGGGAGGACCGAGGGCTGAGGGAGGCCCCTCTCCCCGACATTTCCTTCTTTGCAAGAGTGTCTCCCTTGTTACTGTTTTGGTTGTGGCTGCTGTTTTACATAGGAAGTTCAACTGCTAGGAAACCACTCCAGTCTACGCGGTGTTTGGGGGTAGGGGACATGAAGGATCGATACCTTTGTTTTCCAGCTGCTGTTCATTGGCCTGTTGGTTGATCACACTGTCTGAGATGGAGACAAAACAACCGAGCCAGAACAGGGGTCCTGCAGGGGTCTGATAGAGGGAGATTCTAGAACATTCTCTTTAGAATGGCAGGAAGTGCTGCGACCTTCTGTCCACACACAGTCTGGGGCCATGGAGTGGCATCTCTCCTGGATCCTCTCCCCGGGGGGCTCAGAGGTGACGGGTCCCCTCACTGGCCTGTGGGAAGAGGCTGTGACAGTCTCCCTCATGGAGTGAGGTTGACATTTTGCTTTCACCCCACTTGGGATGAGCACTGTTGGAGTGACAGGACACTCCCATCTCCTCTGATATCTGAATGCCATCGCTGAGGGCGCCCTGGCAGGGGGACTTACTCAGAAACAGGCTGGGCCTATTGTGGAGGGAGGTTGGAAATGAATCCACCTTTGTTTCCCCCCCTTCATGCTCATATCTATCAGCATATTCCTACTCATCTAAAGTAGAATAACAAATTATCAAATATTAACTTCTTAATGTCTGAAATATTAACTTTTTATCAAATATTAACTTTGTAATGTCTGAAATATGGAAACTGTTTTCTCTAAGGAAAGCATTTGCAGCAAATCAGTTCACATCTCAGGCTAAAAGGATTGCTTTGATATTTACACCTAAATTGAAAGTAGAGTATTAAATGCCTAGGCATGTTAACAGCTACATTTAATTTGATCCCAATAATGTCTTATAAAAGAAAGCTTTTAGCTATGCACTGGCTTTTTTTTTTTTAATAAAAAAAAGGATTTATTTCAATGAGAAAATGCCATCGCAGATATTTAGAAAATAATTGTCCAAAGTATTTCTTATGACTCAGGTGTCATTGAATTATGTCACCTACAGTGGGTTTGTGAAGAAGAAGAAAGCGATTATAGCCTCGTTCCCTCCTAACCATTAATTTCCTGGTTCTTGGTGAAAAATCTGTGTTAAGAGGAAAGGAACCATGTCAACTACCATTTATTTAAGTAGCCGTGTTCGATTATAATACGTCAGGTAGCTCGTTCTACAGTCAGATGCAGCCATAAAGCCAATATATTTGTTCATTGTCATGTGTATGTGATCAATAATACAAATAAAGCATTTTTGTTCTCCGTGAGAGTGCTTCCCGCCTCTTCCGAGGGGTGATGCTCTTTTATCGTTTTAGAAGAAGTCCCTTTAGGAGGCGAAGCATTCATCGTGGCGATATGATTTGTTTCTTTTTATGTCTGTGACCCATCTGGAAGCCGTGTTTAAGTGTTTACTGCGCCGGCACCACATGCAGTGGTTAATGTTTCCATACCTTCTTCAGCCGTGACCCCGGTCGTTAACCCAGGAAAAAGCCAGTAGATTAACTGCCTTCATTTTCAGCATCTCTGCAAAAATCTGCTCCCCAGAATGAGGTGGTTTCTGGGCTTTGTGAAACATCTAGACAGTGATAAAAACCTGAGCGTTGGCTGTAAACACACTACAGGAAGATGCCAGCCGCCTGTGATCCCGGCGAAAGGGTGACTGAAAGATCACAGGGTAACAGCTGCCACCAAGGCGCAAACTCGCCACTTAAATAGCCATGTAGACCCTGGAAAACCCGAGACTCTGAACACAGTCAGCGGGGCCGGGACAAAGCTACCATGAAACATTCAAAACTGAAAGATTTTGTAAAGGAAAGAAATGTGTTCAAGGTTCAACGGAAGTTCAAGTGTAGAAGGACTCTGAGTTCCCGCGTCAGGGCAGTGAGGTGGACGGATATAGGGCAGTTTCGGAGACGTGGCTCTGTCCTCACTGCGGGGGGTGACAGGTGGCAGTGGGGCGCCCCGAAGCCTCTGGCTAACCTCGCCGGACTGTCTCATGACAGGTGAAATCAGATTGTGCGCTTAGCTCTGGACTTAGCCGACTCATTCCCAGCGTCTACGCGGCAGGGGCCTCTGAGGTGGGGCTGGCTGTCTCCGGCACGTGTCAGACACAGACGTGGCTGCGCGCAGCTCGGGCCCCAGGGAAGGGACGCGCGTTCCGGGTTCGTGTGCTGGAGAGTGTCCCCTGCCTGGACCGGTTGCTCTGCAGAGTCTGAGCAGCGGTCAGGTCAACACTGCCCTGCAGGCAGAGGACTCTCCCAGGCAGGGGCGCGGCCGGCCACCGTTCCCCCACTGACCTGTGGCTCCTTTGTCCAGGGCACCTGGACGACGATGGGTTACCCCACGGGCTCTGCGCCATCACCTACTCCTCTGCGGACAGATTCGAGGGTAACTTCGTGCACGGAGAGAAGAACGGACGGGGGAAGTTCTTCTTCTTTGACGGCAGGTAACACTCTACACTTTCCATTTGTGGTCTGGGGCTAACAGGTGACTTTATTCACAAGAATGATACAAATGAAAGAATGTAAGTGAATGGCTTGGTTACAAGTTAAAGAACAAATCAGAGTAACCCTGCATGCAGGCACTGTGTGGGGGCAGGGAATGGGGGGCCAGCGGGGACGGAGCTCCCCACAGCAGGCGAAAGGGCTCCTCTGTGCCAGGTGGGGGTCTGCACAGGCTGGTTAGCGCATCAGCCCATTCCCTGGTGGACTGGCCCTGCCTGATCAGGGGCGCATCTTGGTGAAATCACCCAGGGTTTTTCTCGAGGATCAGTCGTGGAGTCACTTGCCATGACTAAACCCAGTACATGTCTTAGAAAGACCTACCCGCTTTCTACCCAAAGCAGCGCCTAAATCTACACCTGTCTAGTAACCTTTCCCCCAAACGTTCCACTGCTCGGTGGCATCAGTGCTCCCGTCCTCAGGGGCCACTTCTTGACTTGGTGAAGGAAACATGGCCGCCTCATGGTTTCTGCAGCATCATCAATTTCTTCCGAGATCGGGCAAGAGAATAAGTAGCCAAGTTCTCCAAAGCCACAGCCTGGCGGGTCGACCTAGCAGGGTCAGGATCCAGGACGCCTGGTCTTGGGTGCGGTCCCTTAAGGCTGGCATTGCCACAGCTGTGCTGTCTCTGCTCTGCCGCTAGTTAAATCATTTTCACGGTAAAGCTAAGGTCTGCTTTGGCCTCTCGTGATCCCGCTGACCTGTCCAGAGGGGACCTTCGCCTGCCTCTTGTCCGTAACTTTTCTGGAAAGTGTCACCTTCGCCTCTTGCTGCAGTTGTTTTTTCATTCATTCAACAAATATAAATACCCTATTCCCCTACATAACATTTAGGGGACAAGGTTAATAATAGATAGGTGCAGATTTAGGGGCTGCTTTTTGGTAGGTCTTTTTAAGGGGCATCCCAGATTCGGGCATGGCAAGTCACCACTGCAACTCACAAACCCGGAGTTCCCCTTGAGGGCAAGATGAGTTTGAGCTCATCTTCCGTTCTTCTTAGCACTCCCTTGATACTAAAAAAAAAAAAAGAGAAAAAGAAAGAGAAAGAGAAAGAATGCTGAATGGTTATGGGAGCTGAAAGAGAGGGGTAGGATCCATGCGTCCCTCTCGCGCTCTCTCTTTCTCTCTCTGCATCTGAGGGGTTGGTGATCCTACCCTGTCGTGGATCAGTTCTGGGGCCCACACCCCCAGCAGTCTGGCTCAGTGCAGGTCACGTCTTACCGCATACCCTGACACAGCAATAAAGGGCTAGAACAGGCTTTGGAACCAGTGTGTCAAGAACGAGCACCATGTCAGCTCCAAGACACCAACCCCATCAAGCCCAAGGGCACCACACAGGAGTCTGAGACGCCCCAGCTCCTCCCTCCCTCTGTGAGACTAGTCAGGCCAGCTCCCAGCCGCATCTCCAGTTACTCCAGTTGCCCCACGTGTGGTCCACATGCAGCAATTGGGGTGTGTGTCAGGACATGTAAAGGCTGGACCAAGCCTAGGTCAGCTTAAAGCGGTTGTCTGTGGCTCCCTGGAATGGGGATTTCCCATCAGTTGTTGACTTTTTTCTTTAAGAAAAAAACCTCCCAGGAGCCTCCCCAGTGGCACAAGGTGTTAAGTCCCAGCACTATGAATCTATCCGCAGCTTCTGCAGCACGAGTTCGATCCCCGGCCAGGGAGCAATCCACATGGCCCAGCAGACCTCTCCTGGCTCGCCTGCTGCTCCCCTCAGCAGTGAATTTCAATAGATCTGCCTGTTCTGCTCCCCACTCTGTCTCTGGTGAATCCTCTCACACCCCACACCTCTGGCCTACATGCCAGTTCTCGTATACATAAATAAATAAAAAATAAATCTTTAAAAAAAATTAACTGAAGAACAGATAAATACGTGCATGGATGGACATAAAACCTGAAACCATAAAAAACATCGAGGAAAACACACACAAAATACCCCATGACATAGGCTTCAGTGATGTCTCAATGGCAAGACAACCGAAAGAGAATACAAACAGAGGGAACTACCTCACACCAAAAGGCTTCTGCACAGTGAAAGAAAATATCACTAAAACGAAATAACAAAAAACTCTGCTGAAATATTTGTGGGGGGAAAAGTCTACATCTCTGTCTATTAATTTTTCTTGCAATTACCACTTCCAACTTTCAGAGTTGGGTGCGTTGGGTAAAGTAAATGGGAATCCCTATGCTATTACTGCCAGGCAAGAGGTTTTCATTTGGAGAAATCTCCCCACAGAGGCTTCAAAATCAAGGTTTTGAAATAACAGGTGTAGAAACCAAAAGTTTCTGTTGGGGCTTAAGAAACTCGTTGAAACCTGTACTGTGGGTTGATTTTCCCATTAAAGAGTTTGTTTCAATTTCGGAGCTTTGTTTAGAAAATCAGAGTATAGAAACAAGTTTTTTAAAAGAACAGAAAGTTAAAAAAAAAAGTTTAAGACTAAATAGAATTAAAATGAACAAAATAATTAAAGAAAAAGAAAATGGCAAAGCCTAATGACAGAGCCGGCCTGATGCATCCTAATCTGTAAAACTTGGATCCAGGTGTGTGATCTTAAACTATTGAGTTTCAATTCACATACAAAAAGCTGCACATATTTAATGTATACAACTTGATTAGCTTGAAGCTAAGTTTATATCCATGAAACTTTCACTGTCATCTATTCCATATGTTGGGTGTGTGATTTATGGGAAGTCCTTTAAACACATGAATTTATAGCAATAAAGTCCTAGAATTAATTTTCCCTTGACATAGACTGTGATACACCTGAATAGGAATTTTGAATATTCAGATCATCAGGAAAGTAGCCCTGTCACATTTTTTTAACCAAGTCCTTCACAGAAACAGAGTTTTTTGTTTTTTTGTTTTTTTTTTTAATGGGACCCTCGCCAGCGGCCGGGGATTGAACCGGCGCTGCAGAGGCTACGGGCAGCCTCACGGCCCAGCGCTCAACCGCTGCGCCACCAGGGGAGGCCCAGAATGTTTTTATTTTTAATAAAAAACTTCAAGAAACACAGAAATGTAAAAAATGAATTTTCTCCTTTTTTCTGACCCGAACCCTCCCGTCACAGGGCACCACTGTTGACCGAGAATTTAAGCCTCTTACTTCAATACACCCACGGTGAAGTGAGGAAGTAACTGTCTACTTGCAGTCACTTTAAACAGCCACGGCGCGTATGATTTCCCTTCTTACTACATCTCCACCTCAAAACATGGCTAGTCTTGAGGTCTCTATCGCGTGTCCCCTTCAGTGCACGACAAGAGGTGAAGCAGAAGAGCCTGTGGCTGCGCCTGCCCCTCGCTGCCCGCGTGCACCCCGCAGGGAGAAACGATGGGAAAATGGACCTTATTTTGAAAATTGGCTCTTCCCACAGCTGTTCTTTTCTATTTTCCCCCCTTTCGGGAGGAAAGAAGAAAACTACCCTGAGGTTGGGCCATTGGGGCGTCACTTGGTCCTGGTGCCTTTGTGCCCGAGTGTCCCGCGGGCATGGCTGGGGCTCAGGAGCAAGCTGAGGGGACACAGCTCGAGTTTATGTTGCTCCCCGACTCTGCATGTTCTTTTAATGTATTCTTTCTCTTCACTGCCCTCCTTTCAGCCAGCATCTGTGGCTATCGGGACATTTTACCTGGGCGTCTCAATCCCCAGAGTGGCCCAAGAGGAGGCGAGAAGGCTGGCGCTGGGCTGTGTGACTTTGGGGGTCACGTGGTTTTGGCCTGATTGTGAGGTAGAGATGAGGTGTTTGTTCAGTTTTAATTTTTTTTTTAAGATTTATTTATACAAGAACCAGGGTACAGACCAGATGTGCAGGAGGGTGAGAGGATTCACCAGAGCCAGAGTGGGGAACAGAACAGGCAGACTGACGATATACACTGCTGAGGGGAGCAGCGGGCGGCAGGAGAGGTCTACTGCGCCATGTGGGACCCTTGCCGGCTGGCCGGGATCAAACTGGTGCTGCAGAGGCTGAGGACAGCTTCACAGCGCTGCGCTCAACCGCCTGCGCCACCAGGGGAGGCCCCAGTTTTAATTTTTTTAAAGATTTATTTTTATTTATGCAGACAAGAGCTGGGGTGCGGGCCAGAGGTGTGGGAGTGAGAGGACTCACCAGAGACGGAGTGAGGAGCAGAGTAGGAGGATCTACTGAAATACCCTGCTGAGGGGAGCAGGCGAGACAGGAGAGGTCTGCTGTGCCATGTGGGTAGCTCCCTGGCTGGGGATCGAACTCATGCTGCAGTGGCTGGGAATAGCTTGATAGCACTGAGACTTAATCCCCTGTGCCACCAGGGAGGCCCAGTTTTAATTTTTGAATATCTACTGTGGGTGCTTCCTGATGGCCAGGTCTATTTCAGAGTGCTGTTTACTGCTCCTTGGCTGCTGCCTCCTGAGCCCTGGGCACTGCTGAGGTCGACCAGCTGCACTACCTGGTAGGGTGAAGTGCGCCCCCGAGGTGGTCATTGACCCGATGGCCCGTGTGGGGCTCCGTTCTATTGACAAGCCACCCAATAGGGCTGCGGCTTCCCAGGTGACTGGTCCACACGGGCTTTTCTGGAGAGTTTTTAGAAAGCACTTGGTCACACTTTTGAGAAAGCAGAGCAGGAATGGGCGGCTGAAGGTCCCAGATCCCAACCTCTCACAGAAGGCCAAAGTCCTTCCTGTGTTCCTGACACTCATCCACTTTTACTAAAACCAGCACAACAAATATATTCTAGGGTGACAATGTGTGTGACATCCCGGGGCGGGGAAGGTTACCCACAGAACTGGGAATACCCATCATGTGTTGGGTCCTGGGCCTGTTGGCTTCAGAACAACCTGTGAAGCCGCTTGATGACCCTATTTTATATGAGGATATTAACCCTTTGCACTCCGCTGTCCCCTCTCAGGGGACATCGGAATTCTAGCACATCACTCGGATGTCCCCTCTCAGGGGACATTGCAATTTATTAGTGATTATGGGGAATTGAGGTTATTTTAACGCAACTTTTTGAGACATGCATGTTTCCCTGAAGTCTTATCTTGAAATGGCACAAGAAATTAAATCAAAATATCATAAAATGGTTCGGAGTGCAAAGGGTTAAGGCTCAGAAGACTAACTTCCCAGGGTCGCCTGGATGCTGCGAGTTGGAGCTGTACTTCAGTCAAGGTGAGCTCAATTCCAGAGTCCTCCCTCTTCATTCTGTGCCCTGCCCTCCTCTGAAACTAGGTCTGTCCCTGCCGACCTTTCTTCCCTGCCTTAATTTCACCTGAGGTCACACCTTCACTTTAATTGTGAGTTCAAAGGAACCCGGGGCAAATGCAGCTACTTTCTTGTAGGCGTTCTCACAGGCTGGTAGGAGCTCGGCAGATTGATGGAAGGTTTTGTTGAACAGTCAGCTTAGAAGACTCCTATTCTAGGAGTTGGCCTCCTGGAATTTCTGTTTCCTCATTTATAAAAAGAGGATAATTATGCCCACCTTTCCTAGTTATTGTAAAGATTGAGAAAACCTGTAAAGGCCTTGTAGCTGAGTGGTACCTAGTTGGGGGCTCTTGGATTTTATTCTCTTATTCTCTACCTGCTATTCCCCTGGCCTTGATGTGTGGACACAGAGCATACATAAATTTAAGGGGTACAATGTGATGATTGATACATGTGTATATTGTGAAGTGATTACCAAAATTAGGTTAGTTACCACCTCTGTGCCCTCACATTGCTAATGTGTGTGTGTGTGTGCTGATAATGTTTAAATTCTACTCTCTTAACTTGCGAGTATGTGATGCAATATTGTCACTGTGTGGCCATCAGTTCCTGGCCTTGCTCTGTTCCTGAAGATGAAATGACAGGAAACCAGGCAAAAGCAGCTGAAACCAAGATGGAGAACTTTTGTAGTGAGTCACTAGCCCTTTTCCTTGATGAATGATGCCAACCCGTTCACCAGACAGCGCTGAGTTAGGATAACATCAGAACAGGGCATGCTGACCCACACAGCTCCCGCGGCCCTGGCTCGGCCAGCCTGAGAGGTGGGAGGTGGTCTTTGAGACTAGTCCACCATCTCCTCTGGCCACACGCCTGATCCAACCCGATTTCCTCCCACCAACTCCCATCTCTGGAGTTTTGGCTTCCAAGTGGCGCAGCCAGATCTGCTCCAGCAGCACCGCTGGCGGCCGCGCCCACCACGCACGTTTCCACCCTGTTCTTTAGGAGCCCCAGGACTTAGTCCTCTTCAGCTGGACTGTGTTTCCTGGGGCCAGTGCCTGCGCCTGCCCCACCTCCCAGCCCCTGGAAACCACCACCCCGGCCTCTGTTTCACGAGCTGGCCCTCGGCGTTCTGGGTGTGAGGGAGGACAGAGTGACACTGCGCCCTCCTTCTGTCGCCTACACATGCCCCTCCTGCCCACTGGGCTCCTCTGGGGCCAGATGACTAATAAAGCAGCATCACAAGGGTTAGCAAAGGAAAATCCATCCTTTTCATCACACACACACACACACACACACACACACACACACACACACACACACACACACACACACACACACACACACACACACACACACACACGGGCTCAGGCACCTGGGGCGTCCCGGAGAGGGAGAGACTCGGCCTGACGGGGGGAGTGAGACCTCGGCCTGCCCTGTGGGGAAGATTCTCGGGTAGGGAGGACATGTTTGAGGATAAGCCTACACCTGGAGGAGACCCCCAGACTATGTTCTTCTAGGGCATAAAAGGGGGAGCCGTGATGCGTCTCTGAGTAGAAGGGAGAAGCTTAGGATGTAAAGATCTCTTCTCTCTCTCTCTTTCTTCTTTTTTGAGCATCTCTCCTTGGGTTAAGGTCAGGTGAAGGCCGTAGGCAAGGACGGAAGCTTCTCCTGGCTGTCAGGGCCTTCACTGCCCTCAATGCCAGACCATCTGCATCTGTCAGTAGTGACTGGAGACTCCCTAGGGCTCGCGAGCCTGCCGGCCTCTGGTTTCCCTTTCCAGTAACTGCGGGAGACGCTCGCTGGGCAGAGCCAGGACGGCCCGGCTGACCCTTGTGGGAGCCTGGCCCCAGCGTTCCCTCTCAGTTTCCTCTTGTCAAAGCAGAATGACCCCACTTCCCATGACCATCCTTGTGTGCAGGAAACTCCTCTTAAACACACGCAGCGTTGGTGTGTTGGGCGAGGGTGCGGCTGGATAATGCCCCATTTGTTCCGACAAAGGGCTCGCGCGCAGCTGGGCCCACCGCGCGCAGCTGGCCCCCAGTGCAGGCGCGGAGAGGCGAGCCTCAGCCCTGGCAGAGGGCCGTAGCAGCGGGCCCTTGGCGGGAAGGTGCTGGGGAGCAGCTGGGGGGCTGGACACGCCAGGGGGAGCATGGGCGACTCCCTGTTATTTAACACTCCAGACACCCAGCCCTCTCGATGTGCTGCTAAGCCGGGGAGGTCTTCCTAGCCCGGCCTCTCAGGACATGATCACACCCATGCACACAGTCACGTTCTCAGGGCCGCCGGGAGCCGAAGTCTGCAGGGCTCAGGTGTAACAAATAAAGCTCCAGGGCAACTAGTGCAGTGGGAGTGGGGCGAGCCCACGGAAGAGCGCGTCACTGCGTCTCCGCCAGGTGCTCGTTGCTCACCTGACATGGGGACGCACCTGGCATCGTGTCCCTCCTGGCGGCCCTCTCGTCACACGGCTGCTGCGGTCCCTCCGGTGCCACATGTGCTCCGTCGTGAGTTGCCCTTCGCCAAGGTGGTTCTTTTCTCATCGTGGAGCCTGATGACGGTCGAGTCGCATCAGTTCCAGCCTCCCTGATGTAGAGTGCTGATTATTTATGCGAGGGCTCGGCCGAAGAGCTCGTTCTTCTCTTCATGAGTGTATCAAGCCTGTTTGTCATGGATAGTACAAACAAAACCGAAAGAGGACGATTTATCTCCTTGGGAGGCTACAAGTAGTGTAATTACAATGTAATCAGAGGCCAGCGCTGCTTAGCCTGTGCTCTTCGCTTAACAATTACAGATCATTCTGAACTTGAGGGAATGAACGATCAGAGCTACAGATCATAGCTGAACTCGAGGGAATGAATGATACCGCGTATTTTGAAATAATCTGACAACCATTTTTGCTGAACAGCTCACCTGGTAAAAATCTGACCCTGCCTTCCCCTTATTCCACACGTCAGCCTGGAAGGGAATTCTTCTTCGGGACTGCGGGGCCCAAACTCCACCAGCTGCTGATGAGACCACGACGAGTGTAGGCACGTCCATGAGCACATGAATACGCACACGCGTGTGCACTTAAGGAAGGCCCCATAGAGGTCCCGCAGGGATGGAAGGGGAGTCTCTTGACACAGTGATTATGGTTGTCCCCAATAACTAACGCGTTAATGACGAAACAGCATGAGGCATCTCCACGCTCTAAATCACGTTGGTGGCGTAGAGGCCACTCTAGACAAGCGTTTGGAGCCTGGGACGCTGCCCGTGGGCGCCGGCCTCCGCTGAGGGAGCCACGCGGAGCGGCTGTAAGCGGAGAGGCTGACTCCCGCGTGTCCATGGCCGGGGTGGTCGCGACTCGCCTTGGACACATTAGATGAGGCTGGTTCCCAGCGTCCGCCTGTGGCCCCAGCTCTGTTTCCTGCAAAGGACTAATCAGAACCGGGAGATTGGGGTTTGAATCTTCCTCTCTTCTGATCTTCCCCCGAGTCTCCTTCCCCCCACACCCCCCACCCTGCAAGCCAGAATCCGGGAGGCGCTCTGATGCCAGGTCAAGATGGAGACGGGGCGGCTCTGGGGTGGCGCCTGGGCTGACTATGCTCTTCTCTGTCCTCCCTTCCCTGACAGCACCCTGGAGGGCTACTACGTGGACGACGCCCTGCAGGGCCAGGGCGTGTACACCTACGAGGACGGGGGCGTGCTGCAGGGCACCTACGTGGACGGGGAGCTGAACGGCCCGGCCCAGGAGTACGACACGGACGGACGGGTGATCTTCAAGGGCCAGTACAAGGACAACATCCGGCACGGCGTGTGCTGGATCTACTACCCAGTAAGCCAGTCGCTGCGCCTCTCGCGGGGAAGCAGCACGTTTTAAAACGGGGCTTTGACGCTTCCCAGTGACTAGTCAGACGCCTCCTCTGTGTGAACCTGGGTGACGCGAGGAGACGCAGGCCCTTGGCTCTGCGAGGAATCCTTTTTCAGTGTTGTTTTAGATTAAAACCAAATGGGAACGAAATTGACCTTATGGGCCACTAGTCAAGACAAAAATGTGTTGCTTTTTAAAAATCTTCCTTTGTACATTGAAAGGAGTGGAAGGTTTCATTGTGATTGAATTTATTGTTTCTCATAGGTGAGAATAAATCCAGATTTTACAAACCTGTCCCCTACTTTTAAAGGTCCGTTATGGCTAATTTAGTGATTAAATGAAGATGATTATAATTAACTTGCCTTTGGGTATTTGATAACAGTTTATGCTATTTCTAGGGTTTATTAGAGTAAAAAGATGTGGCAAAAACCCTGGGTAGGAGTTAAAGCTCCCAATTTTTGTTTGCATTTCAAATGTCCCATTTGTTGTTAGTGAAGTTTCAGAAAATAGACCTTAGAAAGTATCTAATTTTGTCCAGAATTTAAGTCAAAACACATTTCTTTCTTATTCTAAACCCTGTCTTTTTTTTTTTTTTTAAGATTTATTTATTCATGCACACAAGAGCTGGGGTACAAGCCAGAGATGTTGGGGGTGAGAGGATTCACCAGAGAATTAAAAATTATTAATAAAAACAAATCACCAATTATACATATAACAAGAAAAGCAACCTCAGCTAAACCTATGTCCATATTATTGACTTAAAAAATAAGCCCATCTCTGGGAAGGTATAAGAAAAGGACATTGTAAAACACTTAGAAATCGTTCCTAAAGCATTTACCTGGGCCTTGGGCGGGGTCTGCGGTAGATGAGATGTCTTCAGCACTGCCGAGCAAGCCGGCAGGAAGGGGCATGAGACACAAGAACTTTCTAGTTTGGGAGGATGGAAACTCCCGTTGCTCTTAGCAGGCAGGCTGAGCATCTGGCTCTGACGATACTGTGAACCCTGAAGTCCGGGCCAGTGGATCATGCTTGAGAGCCAGTACGGGAGACTGGAGTGTGGCTTCCCTGACCCTCCCCCCATCCCTGCTTTGGTGACTGTGATGAGTTAAGTCCCTCGGTGGGACCAAAGACGCAGCAAGGCGAACGGGTCCACCTCACCCAATGTAGTTGCAACTTGAGACCTAAGTTTGCAGCTCCACTCTAGCCTTTACTGTCATTATTAATGCTATTAAGCACAGTGAGGACTCTGCTGTTGGAAGGAAGCACCGGGGAGCTTTCCAGTTAACTTGGTTGACAACACTAGTTTTACATACGGCTTCTCTTGGCAGTTTGGGGGAATGAATCACACCCCTTGGCTTTCTGGATCTGAGGCAGTGCAGAACTAGACCCCAGGTCTCGGGGATCCAGGTGCTGGTTTATTGTGGTGATGCTGATGGGCCTGTGGTGTGGCCCCAAAGCCAAACAGGCTTCTACTCCTGCTCTGAACTGACTAGAGAAGTTTCAGGCTCCCAAGGTTAGGGGCTGCCTGGGGCTGCTTCCCAAGCGGAGGACAGGAACGGAGAGGGACACACTGGCGGTCTGCAGCACTGGCAGGTCACCACATCAGGAGAAGGGGGCTGAAAGGAGGCATCACACCCGACCCTGGCCAGCCCTGGGGGTCTGGGCTGCAGGCCTGCCTGCTCATTACTGCAATGAACGGCTCCTCCTCCTACCAGGGGGAGCCACTGAGCAGAGGTGAGAAAGCAGCTTCTCTTCCCGGGCCCTCCCTGGGGGCTGACCAGGGTGGTTTTATAACTTGGGCCAAAGCAGGAACAAGGGGAGAAGAATGAATGGTTCACCCATAGTATTTGTCAGCTCACCCTAAAAGGAGTTTGCTTCTTTCAAAATTTAACCTTGGAACAGTGATGAAACGTTTTAAATTAAATATTCATAACTCCTTTTGGAAATAGAAGGAGCTCTGCTCTATCCATCTCTGCAAGTAAATTCACTCCTCTCAGCCAGATGTTTAAAGCCCTTGTGGGCGGGTGGGGAATGTGAGACGGTGTTCTCTTGTAACTACGGAACGGTGGTGCTGGCTTATCTCTGTCACAGGATGTAAGACGCGCTCTTGCTCTGTGGCGACCATGAAGCCTGGAGGCAGATCCTACAGAGAGAGGATCATCCCCGGTTATGCTGAGCTCTTAAGAATTAGCTTGGGGAGGAGAAAGCAATAAATACATCCCTAATGCACTTTCTAGCCATGAAAAAGAAATGCTTCCAAGCATTCCTCTTTCTATGGAAGTGCTGTGATTCGTTTTTTAATTGCTAACCTTTGTTTTCCAAAAAGCAATTAGACTTCAGTGAACTGTAGACCCCACGCATCTGAAACTGTTTATTCCTCCCTCTCTGTCTCTCTGGAAGTAGCATTTGGATCACTCAGAAGTCCTCCTACATGACTGACTTTGAGTAGCCGTTTCTGGAGCCTGGGATTTGGGGCAACAACCAGGCTTTTAGAGGGGGTCAGGGGGTTACTATTGTCATCAAGTCCACGATGGTCTTCGGTTTTCAAAGCTTAAGGACCATAAGGACCTTCTCTACGGGGAAAGAGAGAGAGAGAGAAAAGGAAATATTTCTCATACCCTAGGTTAGATTAGTTTTTGATCATTTATTTGATTATTTTGGGTGTCCCAGCTCAATTCAAACATTATTTATGGCCCAACTACTGTGCCCCAGCAATTACCAGGATGCAGAATTAGCTGCCACCGCTGCCCTACTGCACATCAGGACCCTCAGGAATAGGGCAGGTGCAGTTACAGCGGGAGCCTGGGAGGACGCAGGAGGGAGGCTAAGTGGAAAGAGCGGGAGAAAGGAGTGATGAGGGGGTAGAGCTTGGCTGACCTTCTTCCATCCTTCCAACTCGAAACAAGCTGATGGGACGGGATGCCCGGGCACATCCCAAGTCCCTTCATCTCTCTCTTAGGAGAGGGGGCGGTGCTCTCTGCTCCTGCCTGATAAACACATGAAGTACATTTGAGGTAGAGGTTTTCTTGATAGACGGGAAATCCAGGCTGAATGGTCTACACCTCGGGTGAGCCTGGTTCCCGCAGGCACCGGTCACCACACTTGCTGTTGGCCTCGGCTATGCTTAGTCACGTTTCCTTGCCGTGTCTCTAACTAGCATACGACGCAGCGCTTTTGTTTCCTACATAACAAACCAAGATAGAACAACTTGTCCAAGATGACAAAGTGTACCTCAGTCTCCGACTTTCTAAATCCCACACATGTAACTTCAGCGGTTTTGGGGATGTGGTGGGATGGGGGTGGCATCGTGATTTTCTCACTCGCGTGAAAAGTCCGAGTTTTTAAATTGTCACGATCCGCATTATCGCTGTTACCGCTGGGAGAGCAGAGAAGGCGCGCCCGTGCTGCCGGGTGACACCTTCTGGCTCTGGCTTCTCCATCAGGACGGCGGCAGCCTGGTCGGAGACGTGAATGAAGACGGGGAGATGACTGGGGAGAAGATCGCCTACGTGTACCCCGACGGGAGGACGGCGCTTTATGGAAAGTTCATCGACGGGGAGATGATAGAAGGGAGACTGGCCACCCTCACGTCCACTGAAGAAGGGAGACCTCACTTTGAGCTGGCGCCTGCAGGTGAGCTAACCCCAGAGCCGGTAGATGTAGCGGCGTGATGGGCACAGGGCAGGTTCTCCATGATCCGGCAGGCGGGTAAAGGAGAGTCATAGAGCCCCCAGTGGCTTTCTCAGGCTTTTTTTTTTTTTAAGATTTATTTATTTATGCATACAAGAGCCCAGCTCTTGGGGTCCCCTCCGCCCTCTTAGGCCTCTCAGCTCTGCTAAGGGCTATGTAACCAGTTTCCTGAATTAAATTCTTTGAAACCCTCAAATGGACTGTTTTCTGCTTAGATACTGATGGATCTGGATTGTTTTTCTAACTTTGAGTTTGAGGCATTAATTTGGGATCTGATTATATTACAGAAACAGAGAGGACCTGGTAGTCACTGGTAACCACCAAGAAATTGCTTAATGGGATTATTTATGCTGCCTTAGTGCCTAAAATAATTGACTTTGCAGGGGGGAGTCCTCTGGTTCCAAAGACTTGTGTCTTTACTTTTTAGTTTCTGCAACTGGGAGGCTTGGTTGTGCTCTCAGCTGATCCTTTGCAAAGAAATATGTTGACTCTAGGACAGTTGGGCACCTTAGTTTCTGGAATAAATTACTGATTGACTTCTGAACCACCATAATAGAAACGAGATGACTTGATCAATGCTTTATCAAAAGCAGTGCTGTTCCCCTTCATTCTGGAGAGGCTGTTATTTCAGTGAAGGAGACCATCGCCAAGGCTACAGACTGGGTCTAGTATGAAGAAAATCACAGGAGAATTTCAAAACCATTATCCAATCTGTTCTAACCAGACAGCTCACAATTTCATGACATGTTCTTGCTTTTCAAATTTCAATTATACAAGCATCTTTTAAACCATTTGTATAAAGAAAATCAAAAGCAAAAAGGGCCCCTGAGCTCCATCTGATGGCTGTTCATTGAGATCTGGATATAAACTCGCGTCCATCCCAGAAATACCATTTATATTGCAGAGTTACACTCGCGTTGGTATCATTTGAATCATGTGGGGGATATTTAACTCTCCCTCCCCCTTGGGGAGAGAGAAACATTTATGCTGCCCTCCCTGACTCCGTTCCTGCCCTGACACCTTTGTTTGTTTTCAGGCCCAGCATTCCATTTTGATAAGTCGACTTCTTCTTGCATTTCTACCAACGCTCTTCTTCCAGATCCTTATGAAGCAGAGAGGTAACCTTTCCTGGTGATTTCAATGGTTATGTGAGATTAAGTAACTCCAGGATGGAGACGAATGTTCCTCTGTGGCTCCGTGGGCCAAGTTCCTGAGCAGCAAAATCATTCCTCGTTTTCTGAGGGAGAGTGATTTCATCTTCCTCTAGAGCCAGTCAGTGTGAAAGAGTCTCTCCACCCATAAGGCACGGCCTAGACGCAGACACAGAGAGAAGGGAGCCCTGCGGTTGGCGAGGCCCCGTCCCACTGCCCCTTGCTGGGGCTCCGGCCCAGTCTCTGCACCCCCTGGGGCCCAGGGGAGCATTTCACACTGTTAAAGCTCCAGCCAGGGGGAACAGAAGGCTCCTTCCCCGCCCAACCCAGCCGGGCTCTGGAAGACAAGATAATGTCCTGGTTCACTTAGGGGAGACGGGGTGAAGCAAAGCAAAGAAGCACAGGGACATGCCCGCTTACAAGTGGCAGGTTCTGGACTCCACACGCTCACGCCCAGCGTTCCAGTCTTGTCCACGCGCCAGCTCCCGCGTCCCTGGGTCCCTGCCGGGGCGCCTTCTTGAGATGCTGGCCTCGGAGCAAGAGCGCCATCTGCGCTGAGCTCTTTGCCTCACTCTTTGTGAGTCCGGCGTCCACTTCACTGCTTGCCCCTGCCGTGTAGGGGTCACCCTAACCCTTCCAGGATTAATTGACAGCTGTGCCCCCACAGGTCAAAGGAATGAACAGCTACTTTCTTGAGACTAGGTTCCGGCCCCCTTACAAAGGGAGGGGCTGCTCTGTTGTTAGCCCCCAAACTCAGCATCATAACCAGTGTCTCGGCCTTGTGTTCCTCTGGGGGGACGACCTCTCACCCTGCCCGCCCTCAGTGGCTGAGCAAACTGCCCTTCGCGTGCACACTCCCGCTTCTGCCAGCTGGCTGAGGTCAGCCGCGTCGACCGGGCTCAGCGGGGCTCAGTGAGGCCAGGCTGGACTCCAGGCTCCAAGTTGGGCTGGGGTCTGTCTGCACTCTGGCCAGCACTCAGCCGTGGAAGTCACGCCCCCCGGCACCTTCTCATGGAGATGAATGGAAACCCTGGCAGGAACCAGCTGGGCCCTCACCACCCCAGACCTGGCACACCCCTGCTCCCATGTTCTGGAAGCAAAGCAGCATGTAGGGCCAGGCCCAGAGCAGGCTGGCGGGCTGCATCCTCCGATGCCCAGGGCAGAGGGGCCCGCAGGCCAGGTGGCAGAGAGGAAGTCAAGCGCTGGCAGCTGTCATCAGTGTTCCCATCCATGAAATAAGGCTCACATCAATGCACCAAAAATTATAGACCCCCCAGTCCCCCAGAGTCACTGCACCACAGAGCCAAAGAGCTGAAGTGGCTGTTGATTAAATCTTTAAATTTTTAAAGATTTAATTAAATCTTATTAAATCTTTAACTTTTTTTTCTACTGAATTCATGGTTTGTAACATCCTGTCAGTTTCAGGCAGCCAGCACTGCAGTTGGACCCCCGTGTCTAAGGCACCATGTTCACCACCAAAGCCCAGTTTCCATCCCCCACCACCAGCACACCCCTTTTACCTGATTTATCCAGCCCCTCTTCTACCTGCTATTCTGGTAGCTACGCTTGTTCTTAGCACCTGTATTTATTTTTGTTTTGTTTTGCTTGCTTGTGTTGTTTCTTCATCTGCCACACAGGCATGGTATCATAGGATGTCTGTCTCCCGCTCACTCATTTCACTAAGCGGCAACCCTCGAGGCCCATCTATGCTGTTGCAATGCAGGTTTTCATGCTGTTATTATTTTGTATAGCTGTGTAATATTCCATTGTGTCTATACCCCGCATCCTTATTCATTAACCCTTCCATGGTTACTGACATTGTTCCCAGCTGTTGGCTACAGTGAATCCTGCATAACTGGGACACAAACCTCTTGCACGTATCCTGTCTGTATTCATGGGTGGTCTTTTCTTGTAAACCATGGGCTGGCAAATGTGCTGTCAAGGGCCACACAGTAACTATTGTAGGCTTCTTCGTTCTCTGTTGCACCTACTCAGTTCTGCCTTCGTAGCACTAAGCAGCTGTAGACAATATCACACAAATTGCTGTCTCAATAAAACTCTCGGGAAGGTAAGCAGCTGCCAGTTTTGGCTCTTAGACAATAGTTAACTGCCCCATTTTCAGCTCCTTTGTGAGGAAGTGCACATTGGGTTTATCTTATAAATGATCACTCTTGTATGTAAAAGTTCCATCTTGGGGTTTCATGAACACAGACATACCCTCGTGGGTCACTGACCGACCTGAGTATAGTTTGAATTCGCTTTGGAAAATGCCTTACTTGTTCAGGAAGACAGTGAACATTGTCGTTAGTTAAAAGCAAAAAATAAATAAATAAAATAAGCTTCTATCAAGCATTGAAGTGCTTTAGGAATAAGACATAAGTACCATTTCATTCATTTCCATGCCAAATAGCAAACATTTAGTTTAATGTTTTCTCCTTTACTCCCGTCCTCGTTGGGTTATTATCAGGAGCTGACATTTTGGACTCGGGCACCATAATGAGATTTTGGCACTTGATATAGGGGCGACATATCTAACCAAAAACGTCACTGTTTGACTCTGTTCTGTTTAGGGTTTATGTCGCCGAATCTCTCATTTCCAGCGCTGGAGAAGGGCTGTTTTCCAAGGTAGCGGCGGGACCTAACACTGTCATGTCTTTTTATAATGGAGTCCGAATTACCCACCAAGAGGTGAGTGAGGCGCAGGGGCAAAGCAGCTTCAAGGCTTGTTTCAGACACCTTGGTTTCCCCATTAGCCCCTTGGAACACAGGGGAAATCTAGAAGTACGAAGAAGCCAGCAGCTGGGCTTTCTCTTATAAAAGTAATTGTATATTTCCATAGAACAGTCTTCAGCAAAAGTACCATGGACCGGGTGGCTTATAAACAACAGGAATCTATTTCTTCCAGTGCTGGAGGTTGGGGTGTCCACGGCCAAGGTGCCGGCAGACCCGGTGCCTGGTGAGAACCCACTGCTGGTTCCTAAACCGCCCTCCTTGCTGTGGCCTCACAATGGGGGAGGAACCAGCTATTTCTTCAGGGCCTCTGTTATTTTTTTTAACTGAGGTAACATCAGCTGACATTGTTTTTGGTACTTTGGAAGTACAGTATCCCCGCACCCGTTAGTGCACCTCCCCGGAGTCCACCAGCTAGTTCACCGTGCTCCCTGCCATCTTTGTTCTCACCTGTCCTCCTCCTCCGCCCCTTCTGGAGGCTTCTCTTCTGCCATCAGCTTTCAAGGGTTAGTTTTAAAGCTTACCTTTATCTGACTTTTCATTTGATCTCTCTCTATATTCTACATATCAGTGATACCATCTGGTATTTATTTTTCTGCATCTGACTTTTTTCACTTTCAGCTCCATCCATGTTGCTGCAAATGGCATGAGTTTATCCTTTCGATGGTTGAGTAGTATTCCATTGGATATATACCACATCTTCTTGATCCAGTCATCTTTTTTTTGTTTTTTTTTTTTAAAGATTTATTTTTATTTATTTATACAAGCACTGGGCACAGTCAGAAGCGCGGGAGGGTGAGAGAATTCGCCAGAGCCAGCACGGGGAGCAGAGCAGGCAGAAGGACCGAAGTACACTGCTGAGGGGAGCAGCGGGCGGCAGGAGAGGTCTGCGCGCCATGTGGGACCCTCCTCCGGTGGCCGGGGAGCAGCCGGGGATCAAACCGGTGCTGCAGAGGCTGCGGGCAGCTTCGCAACCCAGCGCTGAACCGCTGCGCCACTGGGGAGGCCCATCCAGTCATCTGTTTTGATTGCTTCTATAGTTTGGCTAGTGTAAACAATGCTGTAGTAAACATGGGAGTACAAATTTCTTTTCAAATTAATATTTATTAAATATTTCAGGTAGATGCTTAGGAGGGGAATTACTGGGCCATACGGCAGATCTAGTTTTAATCTTTTGAGTCACCTCCATGCCGCTTCCATAGGGGCTGAGCCGGCTGCATCCCCACCACAGTGTATGGGGGTTCCACATCCTCCCCAGCCAGGGCCTCTTAAATAAGGCGCTGATCCTATAAGGATGCTCTGCCTGCCCCGCTAGCCTCCCCAAGGCCCCACCCCCAAACACCATCACCTGGGGGACTAGGGTCCTACACATGACCTGGGAGGACACAGACATTCAGTCTGTCACACATGCCTTCCTCATTATGGGGCGGCAGTTTGATTGCGTGTCGGTCTGCAACTGCTCTGTAGAATGTGGGGTGGGCAGAGTCCCAGAAAATACAACTTCTCTGTAGAATCAGCGGGAGGCCGCTGCTTCGGCCTGGACTTTGCCTGGGGCCTGAAAAGTTGAGACTCTGTGGCGCTCTGTCTGTAATCACTCTGTGACCTATGCTTTGTAGGATGACCCCACTTCTGCTGGTGCAAGCCATACTGGGTAGTCTCCATCTTACCTGGAAGGGTCCTATTGCCAAAAAAGCAAAAAAATAAAAGATCAGGAGCTCGATGACCTCTGGCCTTGAAGACACAATCATTGATACATTTACCAGGTTTCACACACATGGTGTTGGTAGGAGGTCACCTCAAGAATGGCAAACACTCTCCTGGGCCTGGGATCTGAAACGCAGCTGTCAGTTTATGAGAAACCTGTTCTAGCCCCATTTAAAATGGCGGGGGGGGGGGGGGTGCCTCCGTCCATTGTTGGGAGCAGCTGCTGTTCTCACAAGAGGGGCAGAAGCAGGAAGATGCCATCATGACCGTCGTGGGTTCAGAACTTTCCATCCTTCTTTTCACACAAGATAAGGAAAAATCCTGGTACCAGCTGGGGCAGGCGGTGGGGCGAGGCTCTTCTCACCACAGGGGGATGTTCAAGGAAAATGAGTCAGCGCCTCTGACGTCCCCAGGGGTCCCGGGCCAGAGGGCTTCTCTGATGCTCCTGCCTCTGTCCTGCAGGTGGACAGCAGGGACTGGGCCCTGAACGGGAACACCCTCTCCCTGGATGAGGAGACCGTCATCGACGTCCCTGAGCCCTACAACCACCTCTCCAAGTACTGTGCCTCCTTGGGACACAAGGCGAATCACTCCTTCACCCCGAACTGCGTCTACGACATGTGAGTCTGACGCCCCCTGCCTCAATACCCCGGCCGGGGAGGGCACGAGGGCGCTGCTCCCTCAGGCTCTCCAGGGGCCTCACAGTTACCACCTGAGGCTGGGATCCGAAAGGCCCCCTCTTTGGCCTTGGCAAGCTAAGAAATGGGCTTCAAAGTAGAAACACTCTCCTTAGGGTTGCTGGGGTGTGTGTGCGCGCGCGCGTGTAAGTGCGCACGTGTGAGTGCGCGTGTGTGAGTTCTTCAGTTGTCTCCTTCTACAAAGTGTCTCACGCAAGATGGTGTAATTTGGAACAATAATATAAATTGAAATAATCCCGCATAATGGAGATCAGGGAAGCCTCTGAGGGGAAGGCAGGAGGGAGACAGCTCCAAGCCCAGACAGAGGTCTCGGTGCTGGGAACGACCTGTGGGCGGCGTCCGTAGGGCTCCACATTGAAAAGGAGTCCGAATCGGACTCGGCCACAAGGTGGGTGAGCCCTGGACGCGCTGCCAAGTGCCAGGAGCCGGGCAGGAAAGGCTTGTGTGCGGCGCCTGGCGCCTGGACGCTGCTGTGGCCAAATTCCTGGGGACAGAAGGTTGTGCAGCGACTGCCTGGGCCTGAAGGGGGCTGGTGCCCAGGAAGATGGGGTTTCCTTGGAGGGAGACAGACTGTTCTAGACAGTGACGGTGGTCCCGCCCCGGAAAACCCCTGTATCGTGCACTTCACATGGAAATTTGATGATCCATGAATTATATCTCAGCAAAGCTATTAGGAAATCAAACCATCCTGCCCCCCTGTTGGGGCTGGGCCCTCCCCTGGCAACCCCGTGGAGCCTCTTCTTAGAAACCTCCACTGATGGAGAACTGACTGCAGGCCACCGAGGCAGCTGTCTGGACAGATGCAAATAGGTGACGAAACTGCCTCTGGGCTGCGATCACAAAGTTCTCTGTGGAGCCCCGGGATTTCCCTGTAACCCCCTAGTCATCCCTTTCCTTCTCCAGCGCCCTTCAATCTCTTGTCCACACAGTAACCCTGCAAATATTTTAGCAGGTCTCATGCCTCCCTCCCCCACAGTGTTCCCGTCCCCCACCTGTGCCTGCAGGGATACAGCTGGGGTTCTGGAAGCATCATCGCTGCTCTCCTTTAGTTCATCCTGAGCATGACCTTCTTCCCGGGATCCAGGCAACCCTGCAGCCTGTTCTCGCCAGTTCTGTCTCACCGCCCCCGTCCGCCATCTCGTGAACAGACGCAGGATCAGCTCATGTGCATTCAATCTGCAGGAAAATTGCCAGAGTTTGAACGTCCCTTCCCTCATCTCTGAGATGGCTTAAAAATTGTTCTGGCAGAGCCTTGCTCTCCTTGGCGGCCAGCAGCATGTACTGAAGCCACCACTTGTGTTTAAAGGGCGGGTGGAAATGGCAGAGGACGTGTGTCATGCGAAATGAGACTGACGCTGTCATTAACGCCGAGGCTTTTGTGGCGCGTGTGAACTAGGCCAGCGTAGCAAGCCCCGTGAAGCAGAGCGAACACACTCAGGGCGCCCTTCGGGACAAATCCTTCCTTGATTTCATGCAAGGTCATGATGCTTCTCACCAAAAAAAAAAAAAGAGAGAGAGCGCAGGACACAAGAAAGAAACCATTTGGGCAAAATCAAGTCTCTGCATGTGAGGATTTACCCCCCTTTCTTTCAAGCCCAGTTTGACCAATTCATTATTGGGGCAAAGGGAAGACTCCCTGAGTAATAATCAAATATAAAATTCAGATACCAATTCATGGCATTATGCGCTTCTAGAATCATGTGTCTTGTGCTGGACACTATTGCAAGCCAGGAGATAGCTGGAGAGAGATGACGTGGACGTAGCGTTTGTGACAGTGCACTGCATGTCTGCACCAGCGACACTGTCATTGTCCATCTCTTCCTGGGCCCGATTTACAAATTAGACTTGATCATCAGTGCCCTCCGTGGGAAAAATCAACACGGAGAGGTTTCTGTGCTCTGCTTGGTCTCCAGCATCTGGGAGCATAACTCCCCCCATAGGGGGTCTGCTGTGTTTCACACAAAAGATGTCCCAAAACTACAGACACACCCCGTTCCCCACCACCCATAGAAGCAAGAGCCAAGTGCTCACCCCCTGCCCCATGCCAGCTCCCCCGAGGCCACCGAACCTTCTCCTTGGTGTCTCTGCCCTCGACTCAGTGTGCCAGTAAGTAAAAGGGTCTTCCTGGCCGGTGCGATGCTTGTGCAGCTCTTCTGGGGGTTGAAGCTCTGAGGTAACTGAGTCTATTCTTCCTCCCCTGCTGGGAGCAGCACAGGGGGCCTGGCTGGTGTACCCCGTCCAGCAGTAGCCTGGCCCTATGAGGAGAGATCACTCCCTTCACTGGCCGCTTCACAGGGAAATGTTACAGAAACAGGTTGGGCAAGTCAATAAAATTTGATTAAAAAAAATAAAGAAATGGCCAGCAGGAGCCTCTAGACTCCCCTGCTGGAAGGAAATCACCTGCTTTTATGCGGGGAAGTAAGGCTTCATCTAGGCAGGGAGAATAGAGAGGTTTTTGCTGTTGAAAATCCACAAGGCTCTTTCTTCCCCTGGAAAAGCCGCCCAGAGCTGGGGACCTGGTGCCCCAGGGCAGCGGAGGGAACCACCGGGCAGCTGCAGGACCCGTTTCCCATTAGGGACAGCCTGTGGTTGTTGCGCATGATTGTCCGGTGAGAAATGCGAGCATCAGATCTGCTCCAGAAAGGAAGACAGCGCAGTGCGTGGTTCTTACATTCTGAAGGGCAGACCCTCCGCAGGGGTGTTAAAATGCAGCTGCGACAGGACACAGTAGAATCCCTGGAGTCTAAAATTCTAGGAGATGCACCAAATTAACAGACTTTCTAATTTTTAAAAACTGCTCATGTTTTTTTAAAAAATCAAATCAAATGCAGCTGCCTGGCCAGCAGGTCTGGGGAGGGGCTAACGGTCCCCTGCCCGGCGGGATGCTCCCTGGCCCCCACCCCAGAGGTTTAGGGGCTCCACGCAGGGCGGGCAGTTCCTCGGGGCCCTCTCCCTGCCCTCGGCCACGTCCTGAGGGTCTGGCCCAGGGGTGACTGCCTGTCCTCCCTGTGCAGGTTCATGCACCCCCGCTTCGGGCCCATCAAATGCATCCGCACCCTCGGGGCAGTGGAGGCCGAGGAGGAGCTCACCGTGGCCTACGGGTACGACCACAGCCCCCCGGGGAAGAGCGGCCCGGAGGCCCCTGAGTGGTACCAGGTGGAGCTGAGGGCCTTCCAGGCCGCCCAGCAGAAGTGAGGCCCGCCGGGGCCGGGACCTGGACCAGACCTGGATCTATGCACTTCGCTCCCGACCGCGCCGCGGGCCTGCTGCGCCGCGTCCACCCTCCTGCTCCACGTTAGCAACGACCTTCTCGCGTCCTAACTAGGTTTGACTGTGTTACTCACCCCAGATCTACAATTAGCTAGCCTTGCGACCGCGTTCTGCTGCGAGGTACTGTCGGGAGGTGACATGAGCCAGCCTGAGCTCTGGGTGGTGAGTCTGGAGCTGCACCCCATTCAGAGATGCCAAACGATCAGGCTGCAAAAGGGGGGGGGGCTTTTGGGTCATTTTTTAGTCGGTGGTTTTTCCATGATTTCTTTTTCCTAGGGCCAATGCAAACTGCATTGTTCTCACACTTGCATAGGCACTGTGCGGAGAGTAGGAATTCCTCCATTTTTATTCTCGAAATGTAGTCGAATTTGCCTTTTAACCTTTGATCTGTATCTTGCAATAGAACGGCTTTGTTTTTTTCCCCTCGTGGACAGAACCCACTTTTTGAGTTATTCACCCTTCCACTCCTGTTCTCTAGCTTAGGTATCTTTTACAAGAGTAAACTTCCCAGTGGATTTTGCATCCACGCCAGCCCAGCGCGTAGGTCTCTCTGGCGCTTTCTATATCAGCGTTCCATTATCCTGTCCTAATATAAGGAACTGGCTTCTAGGGCCAGGATATTATTATAGAATTATTATTCTCGCATGTAAACAAAGATATCTTTGCTTTAAGATGTGAGAAGAAATGAATTTCATTTGTTTGCGTTAAGTTATGGAAGAGTTGTAATATATACGTTAAGGCAGAAGAGAGGGAAAAGGATGTTTCTCAAGCAGTAACTGTGGCAATTTTGCAATATCTTTAATTGCACTCGTGATTTTTTCTCCTGGGGTGCACATTAAATGCACGTACCACAGAGCAGTCTGGCTCGGGACGCAGGGCATTGAATTCAAAATTAAGTAGCAAACTTGAGTTCTAACACAGAATTCAAAAGTTGTGATTTTTTTCTTTTAATCGCTACTGTTAGGCGAGGCATACTGGTCACTAGGAACAACTCAAACCTTAAAGCTAAACCTCTTCATCATTGTAAGTTCAGGGCACTTACCTGCTTCAGAGCATCGTGAATTTCGAGTTAACACCTGTACAGTTTAAAAGCAACACTATCCATAGCATTTCAGCTATTTTGCCAGCCATGTGTGATCACAACTGCAGAAATAGAGTAGAACCCTGTTTTTTAGTTCAGCTGATTAGGTGTGTATTCTCTGGGGTGGCTCTGAGTGGACTCTGGGCGTCTGGGGATTTTGTATGCATCCTCTCCACATGCCAAAGCCGGGTCTTCTCCAGATGCCTCCAGTGGCGGCTGGGAGGTCCGGATGGGCAGCTGCTCTGGCCGGTAAGTGTCCCCCTGGCCTCTGTCGCCCGGTCAGCCTAGTCTTGAAAGCTTGCTTCTTCCCCACCCTGGCAGGCAGGGGCCCTGGGGGGAGCCGCAGGCACAGCTGGGAAGAGAAGAGAAAAGAAACAGCCGAAGGAAGTTGCCTAGTCCCTGCCAGGGGCACCTCGCTCTGAGGGGGACCTTGACAAACGTGCCTGTTCCGGGGCTGCTTCCAATTTCTGGTTCAGGTGGCCCCGGCACAGGACCCAGCCTCCCGGGAGTGGCAGAAGCCACCCTTCCCGTTGACGGTCAGGCTTCCCGGGGCTGCCTTCTGCCCAGCTCTGGGGACACAGCTGATGGCTCAGACACGGGGCCGCAGGGCCTCCAGAAAGCTCTCCCGCAGAGGGAGTTGCATCGAGTTCTTAGGTGAAAGACGCCAGGATAGGATCGCTTCTATTCTGTAGAAACACACCCTTCTGGAAACGGCCCCCCTAGGGGGGAGGCCTCAGGACTCTTGTTGGGAGAGGTGCTGTCATCCCCTGGGAACAAGTGGGCGTGGAGCCTGGACAGGGAGGCACAGTTTGCCCTGGGTGCAGCAAAGCTCAGAAGGATGCCTGTCCTGAGGGGAGACTGTTGTAGGGGGCTGAGGGAGGGCGAGTCTGTCCTCAGGGGCTCCTCTGGGTATCCCATGCAAATGGAATTTTTCCTTTTTTTTTTTTGGTAAAAGGAATTGAAGTAGTGATTAACCCACTAATCCATCCTCCGCCTTAGACACTGAATGCTAATACTAACTTGAACCCCCAGCGAGTGCCTGTGACCTTCAGGTAAACTCAAGGACACACCCGAGCGGAGTCTCCATCATTCGGGCTCTTTCTGCTGCCCCCTCTCTGCCATCTCGCTCCAGGCCCTGTGCACAGCCTCCAGCCGGCCTCCCCGCCTGCTCAGAACTCCCTCCTCTCCCACGGCCCCGCTCTCTGACCTGCGAGGGGGGGAGGCTGTGTGTGTGTGTGCACACGTGTGCGCATGCACACCCCTTGTACCTCTCACTAAGTCTCTGTCTGACTCTGTTGCTCCCTCTCCCCTCCCCACCCCCAACACACACACACACACACACACACACACACACACACACGTAAAGCTTTGTTTGGGGTCAAATGTAGCCTGAGAGTCGCTGATCTGTAGGTAGATCAAGTCGGGGGGTTAAGTTTCCACAAGGAACGAAGTGGTGAGGAGGGAGGGAGGGTGGGTGGGAAGGTGGGCTCCTTGTTTGAGCCAAAGGAAGAGGGGAGCCCCTGGGGTGGAGTTTTCTAGTGCATCTTCACATCCACGGTGGGGGGTCGGGGAGAGAGGTCAGTAAACAGCGGGATCCGGTCATTTCATCAGCATCGTAATCACTAGAGAAACGTGGACGCTGCCATGTGGCGGAGAATAAGGAAATCCCCAAACCCACAGCACCCATGAGTGGGGTGATGTGGACGACCCAGGAGTCCACCCAGAGCCAGCCCAGCCCCCGCATGCCTAGATCTTTCCTGAGCTGCTGTCCTAGAACGAGCTATCCCCTCGCACTCGACTTAGGAATAGGAACTAATCTCTGGAGGTGTGTCCCCAAATGGACACTTGGCTGGGTGAGCAAAACGAGTGTAAAGATGGAATTTCTGGCACAAAGGATTGATGAGCTTCAAAAGCAAAGGCCGGGAAGACTCGAGGTCTGCAGTACCTGTTCTCTGCCCCGCTTCCTCCCCACCCACCTGAGAAACCAAGAAGGGATTGGTTTTCAAGACCTCTTTGAACCTGTCTGGGGCTGTAGGGAAACTTATTTGGTCCTCTAGGGGTTCTTCACACTTGAAAAACGGTTTCTTTATCACCAACAACCTGAAGAGGCCACGGGGAAGCCGTGTCAGCCCTTCGCGGTGCCTGTTCCGGGAGGGCGTGACTGCCAACAGCGGGGTTCAGGGTTTTCTCAGTGGTGTTCGGTGGCACTTTTGTAACGTCCCTCTCGTAGATCCCACTTTGAATCACTCTTTGCAAAGTACATTTACGATCTTCCAAGAAGGTATAGTTTTCTGTTTTGCTTTGTTTTCAAATCTTTGCCTCAAGTTTCTGTCTTAGGAGTAGTGATTTCGAATCCAGACATCTTTTGTTTTAGAAAAACAAGCAAAAACTGTGTTGTGAGGCTGATACGTTGTAATGTTTAGTTGCCACAGATCAAAGGTTCACAAACTATTGAATTTGCATCCACTTGAGGTTCCTCCAGTGATTGTTTTTTCTTTCATCTTTCCCTTCAGAAATCGGAGGCCTCGGCAAGGTCACTGTTTTCTCTTACTTTACAAATTCTAAATTGTAATCGTTTTTATTTCGCCAAATGTGTACATAACCTGTTCAAAGCAATGAAACTATTTCAAGCCATACAACCACCGGGGTGCAACCCCTCTTCACAAATTTTAATGTGTTTGTATGTAAATAGATGTTTGTATGAAATATTTTCAGGGTAGAATGACTATATTTAAATGAAGTTGAATTCTTCCAGTGCTATTTCAACCGATCACAAAATTTTTGGTGAGAATTCTGAGTCTATTGAGATACAAATCAATTTTGATTTTTAAAAATCGAAAGCCTACAGAGAACTCGACCGTCGTGGCGCCCGGCGAGCTCGCTGGGCCGTGGAGAGAGTTCTGTAGGCTTCCCCAGTGCCTCAGCCGCTTCCTGGTGTAAGTCAGGTGCTCGTGAAGGTGTGTCCACCTTTCCGTGACATCACTCGGGGCCTTGGAGGGCCCGGTGCAGTTATCTGGAGCACAATTTCTCTGCAGGGCAGCAGAATCTGAAGCCAGATGTGGCCATGTAAACCGGGGGACCGGGTGTTTTGGGCCACCCTCCGCCGCCACCCTTACTGCCTAGTCTCACACGTCAGGGAGGCTGCCCTCAGTGGAGTTGGGGTTCAGACCCCGGGGTGGGACTTCACGGTTTGGCCAGCGGCCCCTGCCTCCAGACCTCCACCTCGAGAGAGGACAGAGGCGGGTGCCGCGGCCAGGGCCCAGGCCCAGCACAGATCACTCGCGTCTCCGCTCTGGGGACTATGCACCTCGCACCGAGCTTCCGCCCAGGGGGAGACAGCCTCGGATCACGCCCACCCTTGCTCCCTGTCCGTGACTTTCCACACCGTTGTTCCAAGTTGTTTTACCCTCAAGACCAATCGCATCCCTTGGCCATAACCCCACCCTCGGGCCCTCCACGTCAGGGGCCGCGCCCTCACAACGACACCAACCCAGTGGGTTTTGTTGTCTCCCGCTTTGGTCCTGGATCTAAGGAAATGACACACATTACGACAAATTTCACTGTGTATACTAGCAATATGTACACACATGCCAATGTATCTTAACCTATCTGCGTGGTACATTTTGGATTACTCTGATCAATCTCGATTCGTGTATGGAAAACACAGGGACCACGTGAAGCTTGTGCATCCTAGAGGACATTAGGGTCATAGCTCTGAGCTCCCTACTTCTAAAGTTTCTCCTCCTGGGTTTTTCTATGTTCTCTTTTTATCCTGAAATGCATTTACCAGGTTGTGAGGTATGTTTCAGGACCGAAAGCCAGGGGGACGCTTTCGGCGTTTATTGCCACCCGAAGCCGACCCCATCGCCGTTCGTGAGTATCTTTGATTGGTCTTTTGTGGAATCTGAACTAAATCTATGAGCCTTATTCAATATCTATAATTCTATGATTTTTTTAAATTATGGGAAATTAATGAAAGATGTTTACATGAATAATGTTTGCCCTTACTGTGTTATGAGTGAGTTTTTTGTAGTGTGTCTGGGTGCATGTGCAAGAGAGTAGGAAAAATGTTTCTGAAACAAAACTTGACAAATATTTGTAATGAAAAGTCAATTTAAAGATTGCTATAATTGCGCTATAGAAACAATGCAAGTATTAAACAAGATATACAATCATCTGCCTTCGTCTTCCTTCGGGTGTCGGGGGGCCTGCTGTGTTTCTGATGACGCGCCTGCCCGCATGCCAGAGGACGCGGGCTCCGCACTGAAGTGACTGTAAAATACGAGCCATTTACCACTGACCAGGCACTGCAGGAAGAGCTGCGGGGAGGGATGAGGCCACACACCCCCGAATCTGGAAAACTGGCGACAGCAGCCCAACCTGGGACTATGTAAATATTAAGGGTGTGGAAGGCAAATGAGGTGATGAGGACAGTTACCTGAAAGATGGGAAACATCGGTTACAGACCCCAACAACCAACAAGTGCGCGCTCGGAGACCCTCTAGGAGAGAGAGTTCGCCAGTGATTCGGCAGCCAGGGGAGATTTAGTAAAGCCGTGTGCACGAGGGCGCCAGTGCTGGGAGAGGGTGTTGTTAGCCCTGCTCCCCAATGGAAACTAGGAAGGGGGTTTCAGAGGTGGGTCTGTCAGGAAGCAGATGGGCAGAGCACCCTTGGGTGTCAGGCTGGATGACACTGGGGCACGTGCACATGGGTCACGGGCCTTCATACATTCGTGTCTCACTAGCATCTAGTTCCCACCCAGGGTGTGTGTTCGTGCTAATGAGACCTTGGTTGCTGGTCTCAGGGAGGATTTTCACCAACTGCACAGGGGAGCCCTTGGCCCCCAAGAAATTGTGAAGCAGCTGTTGGTCAGGACACAGCACCTTGTCTGGGCGGGGCGCCTTTGGGCAGCCTGTGGAGCAGGTTGTTGAAGGAGATGTCGGGGCCACCTGCCAGCTCGTGATTTCTCTACCTGCCGAGCAGGACAAGGGGCGGCTCTCACCCTGTTCACCTGAACGCGCTCACTTCAACTCTGTTTAGAGAAGACAAGGGACGTTTGAAAGCTGGTGAGGGAGATTTGGAACAACTGAGTGGAAGAACCTAGAAACCATTGTTCCTGCCCAAATCACGGCCTTCCCAAGCTCCCCTACAGTGTTTCCACAGCACACAAGCCCGGGGCATGGGGTGCAGGTCACACTGCTGTGAGCTGGGTGTGGTGTCCAGTACCCCAAAGCTGTGAGTTCTGCTAAGCTGGGCTACGTGAGGCACACGCAGATGCCAAACTGAAGCAGACGCTGAGAATTGCTTTATTTTTACCTCCCTCGGTTGCCCGATCCTTAACCTTATCACAGAGCCTTCCAGAGAAGGAAGAAAACCAAAGCCAGCGAGATGACTAAATCCAGCCCGGTGTTGGCTCAACCTCACCGCCTGGGCAAAGACACCCAAGTGCCCCGTCTTTGGGGCAGCTCTCACCACGCCACACGAGTCGATAGTCTTCCTCCTCGTGGGGGAGAGGAGTGTGAGATTAAAAATTCAATACAAACTGGGTAAGTCTAAGATGCTAAATTCTCAAAAGTGAAACATCACACAACTTTTTGTGGGTGAAGATGGTGTGAATTCGAGGGTGGTAGAATAGGCAACGTGAGGGGGTGGAGACCACATTATTTTAACCTCAGTAATCATCCCACAAAAACCTCTTACTGGGCCTCCCCGGTGGCGCAGTGGTTGAGCGCTGGGTTGCGAAGCTGCCCGCGGCCTCTGCGGCGCCGGTTCGATCCCCGGCTGCTACACATGGCGCGCAGACCTCTCCTGCCGCCCGCTGCTCCCCTCAGCAGTGTACTTCAGTCCTTCTGCCTGCTCTGCTCCCCGCTCTGGCTCTGGTGAATTCTCTCACCCTCCCACGCTTCTGACTGTACCCAGTGCATGCCACATGCTTACTACATACCTGCCTTTGGGTTTTATTACACCTGTAGAGGCCACATGAAGTTTGGCATCCCCAGTAGTGTCCGTCAGGCACACGTTCTCTCGTCCAGGGGTCACTGTTAACAAACCAGCAGGGAACAAAAAGTCAGATGTTTCTGTTGAGCTAACAGTTCTGGGACGACACACGTCACAGACGCATGGAGTGTCTGCCGGTACCAGGCAGGTATGTGAACAACACCAGGGGTGCAGTGTGGAGGGAGGGGGTACGGGGGAGACTCAGGGGCACCTCCCTGGGAAAGAAAGCACAGTGGGCTTCTGGAGAGCAGGCTTCTGGGGAGGGGTGCAGGCCCAGAGGGGCTGCAGGGAGCCAAGCCCAGGGGCCTGCACTGCTCTCTACAGGCCCCAGACAATCCTGTGGACTTTGTAACTCAGTGCGATGGGGAGTCAAACAGTGATGTAACGTACATTTGCTCTTAAAAATAAGCCAGCATTGTCCAGCCTGGCTTGCCACAGATTCCAAAAGCACTTGGGATATTTTCACA